GTGGATCTCCTTCTCCAACACCCCGACATTCGCATCGGCAATGCTCTTCTTTGCGCCATCCGTGAAGGTAAGTTGACTTCTATCTTATTTGCCATAAACCCCAAAATGAAATTGCTCAAGAATGTCCCCCTCTTCTATTCTATTTGACATTATTCCATTTACTTTTTGACAAGAGGTTCTTATTCTCAGAAATGTGCCCAAGCAAGTAAATTATTCTACAGATATGAAAAGCCCTCCTTCCCTCGTTTGTTGAACAACCTTCTACTTATGCTCAGTCTTGCTAAGAGTTCATCTCCGTAAGATATTTTAGGATGAATATGTGTGCATAATGTCAAAAAACGAAGAACATATTTCAAATAAAGATGTTAAGGAAATGGGAAGGTTATTTGCCGCTCACAAAAGTTCTGAAACTATATTTAGAAGAACCTAGAAAAGCAGTTCTGTTTAATAGTTATTATTAGCTTAGGCGTAATAATATCAATACTAATAGTTCTCGGACATCGTCTTTATTGAAAACTTCTATTTTGGAGCGCGAAACTTAAATGAACAGCCTTTTTTGCATTACTCAGCAATTTATTGGTTGAGAAAGCGCTGCCCAAATTTGCAATTTCGGCATTTTTACTGAAGAGGCGGCAAATTCAATTGTCCTATTTGAATAGCGAAAAGAAGCGTTCCACAGCATTGGAAGCAAGTAAAGAAGTTGATCATTTCTGACGAAAAGAATTTTAGTAGTTGCTCATGGATCCATTTAGGTGTGTACCGGCTTGTGGAAATGCAAGTGAATCATCCATCGATTACTCGAGAAATGCTCGGCGATGGATGGGCTGAGCATCTTGATCCAGCCGAAGCGGCTTCAGCTGAATATTCAAGGTACAATTTGATTCCCTACACTATTTGTTTGTCTATTACAGGGTTTGAAAGCATACAGGTATATCTATTTGTCAAATTCAGTCACTACGCACTTAGCTTTAAGTGGGACTAGCTACATTCATCGATAACTTAAATTCGATTTTCTTCGTCTTTGAAAAAGGAGAAGTATCCTAAAATTCTAATACGTTAAGCTCTTAGAAGGCTTAAGCAAGGTCAAACCTATTTCCTCTGCAACCTGACTTTGCAGTCACATTCAAAGCTAAGTTACCGCAATAAGAGTATTACAAATTCAAAAGAAGTCCAGACGTTCACAATTCTTTTTTCATCCAAAATTTTCTGTCCACTAGACCGCATTATCGGCTAATAAACAGTTTTTCATGTCAATATGAATACTGAAATAAAGTAACGTCAT